AGTCCAGGTAGCTGAAATCAAGTATGACTCTTTTAGACACCAGTTTAGGTAGAGTATGCCACTTGAGCTCACGGTTTTATGCTGTTGCGAGAAAGAAAAAAACAGCAGCCTAAAAGTGACAAAGATTCTTTGAATTTCTTTCACACTCAGTGCTAATTTTTTAAAAGCAGATGTATGTAACCTAGCATCTCTTTTGTCCTGATCAGTGCCTCAGCTTGCTTTCCACAGTGTGTAGATAAGATAAATTTGAGGGAGTTAACATCAGAATTCATTTCTGCATCAATTTTTGAGAAGCAGGCCTAATGCTCAGTAATTCCAGATGCCTGTGGATGACAGGGAATGTGGATAAAATGTCAGGGGTACCTTATTATCACCCTGTGTTTGTGGCTTTTGTGCTGAAATGTGTACCAGTTTTGTTGCAGGAATGGGGACTCCTTCCAGAGCCTGCAAGTGTACTCTTGTCTAATGCTCAGAAATGAGTTGTCAAAGGAGACACATATTCTGACAAAACAAGAGATTTTACTGGGAAGGGGAGCCTGGGCAGAAAGCAGTAGGGTAAGAGAACCCAGGAGAACTGCTCTGCCACATGGCTTGCAGTGTCTGATTTTATGGTAATGGGATTAGTTTTTGGGTTGTCTTTGGCCAGTCATTCTGACTCAGAGTTTTTCCTGGTGATGCATGTCTTGCTCATCAAAAATGGAAACCAGCAACAAGACTCTGGGAGGTGGTCAGACATGTAGGGTCTCCCTTTGACCTTTTGTCAAATTCTTCCATTGGTGGTAGTTTATAGTTCCATGTTCATTACCAGGACCTCCTGTTGTAAAATAACTCATGCAAATGATTACCCTGGTGCCTGGCCAGGATGGGCAGTTTCAGTCGGTGTGCTTCTCTTTAACAGTTTCAGACTGCAGATTAGGTAGGAGTCTGACCACATAGCTCTTCATGGGGTTGTCAATACTTTGGCCACCTGATGCAAAGAACTGACTGATTGGAAAAGACCTGATGTTGGGAAAGATAGACGGCAGGAGGAGAAGGGGACAGCAGAGGATAAGATGGCTGGATGGCATCACCAACTTGATGGACATTAGTTTGAACAGGCTTGGGAGTTGGTGATGGATGGGGAATCCTGGCATGGAGCAGTCCGTGGGGTCACAGAGTTGACACGACTGGACTGACCACATGACAGATCATTTCAAAGGCTGTAGTGATGTAGCCAAAGTCAAGTGATTGGTATGGCACATCAATCCCATGACCTGAAAAGGTTGTTAACTATGGGTCACCCATGACCAGTAGATCTAAGGAGACTTAAAGGTTGGATGCATTTAAGACTTTTAGAATGAAGGGAATCAAGGCCCTGTGTATCGTGGCCTTCCCAGTCTGGAGACAAGTGGGTCAGCTTTTTGTGTGTATCACAAGTCTAACAGGCAGGGGCAGCCTTTGCATTAGGAAAGAATCCTTTACGTGGTACCATTTTTGTGAATATGGGCACATAGCCATACTCAGTACAGAGTGCAGTCCAGCCAGCAGTCATCGCCATCTGGGCAGTGCAGTCTTGATCAGTAGCTTGATTTTACTCAGCATAAACATCTATGTTAGTAATCCACATGATTCTTTTAGTAGCTGTGATTTATTACTCCAATTTGTGGTAACCAAAAATGGAGTTCTTTTATATGCCTGCTCAGGTATTCCCAGTGAATTTAAGGTTCTTGCCTCATTGCAAAAAGAATTTGGAGACAAGATAGGGAGATTAAAAAAGTAAAATGAGAATTTATTTAAGCAGAAGTTTGCTCTCAGAGGACTTTTCCACTAACTCAGCAGGTAAAGAATCCACCTGCCAATGCAGGAGACTTAAGAGATTCAGGTTCAATCCCTGGGTTGGGAAGATCCCCAGGAGGTGGACATGGCAACCCACTCCAGTATTCTTGCCTAAAGAATCTCAGGGATGGAGGAGCCTGGTGGGCTATAGTCCATAGCGTTGCGAAGAGTTTAATATGACTGCAGCAGCTTAGAAGTCATGCTCTTGGAGGGAGACCAGGCAGATAAATTAGGAAGTGCTACTCTGGGTTTCTTTCGCAAGTCAGATGTGAGGAGCATACAGATGAAGGGGCAGAATATTCACAGGGGAAGGAGGAGCTTGAGGGTCCATATTCCCTGATTTTCATCCCAGCTCTAATTTCCCGAGGGGGAGGAGGGATTGTTGTCTGTATTTACCTTATATCAGAAGTGTCATGGAGTTGATGTGTGATGAGTGTTTCTTTTCTGCAAGGCTGATTTTTTATTGTAGTGAAAGCCTTATGAGCAACACATTACATTTGAATGCAGGAGATTCTTGCCATTTCCCAACCTTTCTTTGCCTTTGGGACACTTAACATCTAAACTGTATGGTTTCCTGTCAGTCTGGACATTCTTGCTTTTGTCTGGCTGTGGACCCCTGCTGTTTGTAAGATAGTTCATTTGTAATGGATATAGGTATAGGCATTTGCACTGGGTTTAGATGTGTAAGCAACACCTTGTCAGCTTGAAGCTGATTTGTTGAGCTTCCTTGATGGACTGTGAATCCTGCCCCAAACCTCTTCAGTTGAATTCAGAGACCTCTTATTCCTACATAACTAGATGGTGCAGTGAGTGATTTGAGTAGCTATTTCCAAAGAGCCATAAAAATTTGTGTTGGGTTGCTCTTTTCTCCACAGTGCCCCAGCTTACTTGGATGGGTTTCATGTGGGGGTTGGAGAGAATTTGTCCCCAACCCAAGGCACCTTTCTGTGCAAGATAGCTAAAGTCACAGTATTGCAGGAAGAGGGACCTGTTTTTAGGGCCTCAGTGTGGGCTCTTGTCTGATACCCAGAAATGTATTGTCTGAGGAGACACTCTTGCTGACAAAGTAAGAGACTTTATTGGTTTGGGGCAACCAGATGGAGAGCAATATGGTAAGGGAACCCAGGAGTGCCATGTGGGTTGCAGTCTCAGGTTTTACAGTGATGGGGTTAGTTACCAGTTTGTCTTTGGCCAGTCATTCTGACTCAGAATCCTTCCTCATGGCGCACACATTACTCAGCCAAAATAAATGCCAGCTGGGAATCTGGGATGTGGTAGGAAACGTGATGTCTCCTTTTGATCTTTCTCAAATTCTCCTGGTTTGTGATGGCTTATTTTTCCATGTTCCTTACCAGAACGTCCTGTCATAAAATAACTAATTGTAAGTGGTTACTGTGGTACCTGACCAGGGTGGGTGGTTTCAGTAAGTGTGCTTTCCTTATCAAGGGGATACCCAGGTACCCAGGGAGAAATCAGTGCATTTGAAGAAAGTTAGTTTCACATCAGTACACAAACACATGCTTTCTCTTGTACTTTTGTGCAGCTTGGAGTACTTAGTCAGGGTCTTTACAACTTGGCCTTAGCCTTTGCTTCTGCTTGAAGGTCAGACTGAAGGCTAAGCAGAGATAGTAAGATAACTCTTAACATGGGACTTTTAAAATGCGTATATTCATCTCCTTTCCCAGCCTTTCTCTGTAAAGATTTTCCTGCGTTGTTGCTTTTTCATGGTCTTTGTCCCATATCTCAGGCTGCTGAGGTCAGTATTGAGCCTTTTATACTTGTATCTAAAGACATCCACAGTGCTTCCCTAGTGTTAATATTGTAAGAAGCGGGGTCCCCCTGGAGGGCCCCAAGAGTGGACTCTTTTTTAAATACTTGGGAAAGAATTGTCTGAGGAGACGTGTGCTGACAAAGCAAGAGACTATTGGAAAAGCGCACTGGGGCAGAGAGCAGCAGGGTAAGGGAACCCAGGAGAACTGTTGTGCCATGTGGCTTGTGGCCTGCAGTCTCAGGTTTTATGGTGATGGGATTAGTTTCTGGGTTGTCTTTGGCAAATCATTTTATTTTTTTGGCCAACCATTCTGACTTAGAGTCCTTCCTGGTGGCACATGCATTGCTCAGCCAAGATGGATACCAACCAGAAGGATTCTGGGAGTTGGTTGGATACATGGTGTTCTCTTTTAATCTTTTCTGAACTCTTCTGGTTGGTGGTGGCTTATTAGTTTGGTGTTCTTTACCAGGACAATCTGTCATAAAATAGCTCATGCAAATAGTTAGTAGGGACCCTGGCCAGGATGGGAGGTTTCAGTCAGTGTGCATCTCCCAACATTGAGATAATGCTTCCAAGGGATAAACAGAGGCAGACTCCTATACAGGTTTCTTGGGGAACTGCCTGAAAGGTTAAAAGAGACCACAGTCCTATGAAAATAATGTCTTCATTGTTCCCACTGGCACTGGTAGCATCATTGAGAGTGTGGGCTGTTATTCTTACAGTCATTGCTGACCAGGAGTATGGAGAATGACAGACAGAAGATTAAAATCATATGGTGATCTCCAACTTCTCTTTTATTTGCTAAGCCTTCCATTTGGGTTGTTAATTTTAATTTTCTTCTGTAGGCTTTTAGAGATTCCAGAGTTCTGTAGAAGTTGATTCTGATAGATTCTGCCAGCATATTTATTACTTATTAGAAGATCAGAGCCTAGGATTTTTTTCAGTTCCATGATTAGAGTAGTCCCTTCCTCTCTCCTTTTCTCCTTTGATTCTAACAAGCACTGTCTTTTTGTAAACCACTGTGAAAGGTGGTAAAAGACTGTCATGATCATCTGCCAGTTGATTGTACCATGTACACAAAGTAAAAACTACATTTTTTTTTTTTTAAACTACATTTAAACATGAGCAAGGCTGGGAGTTCCCTGGTGGTCCAGTGGTTAGAAACTCCACACTTCCACTGCAGGGGGCTTTGATCCTTGATCCATTGGGAAGCTAAGATACAGCATAACACTTGGTGCAGCCAAAAAAAAAAAAAAAAAAAGAGAGAGAGAGAGGGAAACCATGTTTGAGTCCACTCTTAAGAAAATGAGCAAAGTGGGGTGGAAAACAGTGTTGTACAGCCTTGTTTTCCTCCCTTGATTACATTTTTTTAACTCCTTCCTCTATATTTTTTTTTTCTGCTCTTTTCCTCTAGCTTATGGAGAATCACAATGGAAGAATCTAGAATTTGCCGAGTAGGAGTAAAACCAGATATGTTGCATCACTGTCAATCAAATGATATTCCTCAGTGTAATGACTCAAATTATGGTAGCACATCTAACAAGCATTCAGTGGAAGAGGATGAAAGCAGTAACATTACAGCAAAGAGCAGGGATTTACTGAGCCCAGTGTACTGCACACAAGAGTCAAGAGAGGAACCTCCAGGGCCAGGAGCTGGAGCAGATCCCTCTGGTGGTCAACAAGATTCAGAGTGCCGCAGAAACAAAGAAAAAAACTTAGGTAATGATCTCTGCTCAGGAGTTGAACATTTTCACATGGTTCTTGTTAAACTTATATATCTGCAGCACTGGTAATGGTGGAACATGACTAGTTTTGAGATAGATGTTTAGCTAATTCACCGAGTTTTTTTGGTCAGGTCAGTATGCTTCACTCCAGCAATTACATGCAGGAGGTGAAAATAACAGAGTAGAAAGCAGTTCTGGATGCTTTTGTTCCTTCTCTCTGACTAAGGATTGTTTTCCAGAAAAATATATGTGGCCAGTTTGACAGAAGTAGTATTTGATTTGCCTTGTTGCTTGATCATTCAAAGTAATCTAATAATTACTATGAAAGCTATATATTTGCTCAGCTTATTAGAGAATATCCACTAAAATTTGGAAATGATATGTTATTTTGCAGCTTAGAAAGTGCGTTAGTAAGACTAGTTTTAGAATCTGTCCTATAGCTGCTTAATTTGACAGTTAGGATTAACAGTGTGATACAGTAAATTTCATGAATGAAATCTGAAGCCCTTACTTCGTCTTAATGATTTCTCCTCAATTTTTCATTCCTGTTGTACCTAATATTTACCTTGTTTAATTAGTGATTTGTGCAAAACATAACTTGAAATTCTCTTTCCTAATACACCTTCTGCTAGTTTTTAAAGACTTTAAAATTTATATGAATATGTGAAGTATTTATAATTCCTTGCAAACAAGACAGATACCTGTAATATCAGTGACCCTAACACTTGTGCATAAAATACAACTTTAGTTAGAAATCATTTAAATGGTTTAAGATAGAGTTTAAACTATTCATAAAGTTAAAGTATAGGTTACTGTTATGTCTGCACATTGAAACATGGTTCCTTTTTTAATTTTATTTTGAACTGAAGGGAAAAAGTTTTCAGTACTAAAATCTTATCTGAATAAGGTGGTCAGCTTTTTGAAGTTGGACTGTTCTTCCTCTCTTGCACCTCCATAACAGTCTGTAAAGTATATGAAATATCAACTTTAGATTAAATGCTAAAGAATTAGATGAATACCATTCTCTTTGATGAAATACTCTACATACAAGGCTGAACAGTTTAGAAAATAAACCCTTATCCTCAGGGTAAGAAATAGAATATTATTTTTAACTTTATAGCATCATTTACCTCCACCTATCTTAGTAACCTGTTTCCTCTGCTAAAGTTGTTAAGGCACTCTTGAAGAACTCTTGTTTTTGCTGTTTAAGTGATTAGTATCTAAGAGGTAGCAGTGTTGGTAAGTATAGAAATGTGGATGATGGTGAGGCTAAATAGATCAATTTGAAAATAGCTTCTTTAATTTAGTAGGTGAATCTCTGTCTCTATTTATAGCCTTAAGTTAGAAATATATGTTTTATGTAGAATTTACAGACTGAATTAATGTCATCCTTCTGCTACCTTTTTTCTTTTATAAATCATTAGGAAAAGAAGTATTATTATTGATGCAAGCCTTAAACACTCTTTCAACTCCAGAGGAGAAGCTGGCAGCTCTGTGTAAGAAATACGCTGATCTTGTGAGTATTAAGGGAGTGAGGCCCATGTATAGCATAGCAAACTGTGTGTATGTGCTTGATAAACTTTGAAAATGTGGTTTTGATACAGTTTTATGTTTAAAATCATATTAGAGAATTGAGGGGAAGAATCAAATTTCTCGGGAGTTATGCTGATTGTTTGACTTAGTATTGTGATACACAGTTTAGAACATTATAATGCTTTTTGAGATGTACCCTGAAAGTCAGTCAGCCTTGGCATTTCCAGACTCACTTTTTTTGTTTATATGTGTAATGCCTCTCAGTTGAAAGAGACTGGCTTTTTTGGCTAAATTCAGGAATTCTAGACATGAAAGGAATGTTAGAGATAAAGGCTTTTGCCATTTTGATTGAATTTTTTAGTTACATGACAGTAATACATTTTAAGAAATATTTACTGAGAATCTACTGTTTGCTAGGTTGTGTTCCTTTTTCCTTCTTCCAAAGTTCACTCATGGCGTGTTTGTTCTAATTATGTGTTTTCAACCAGCACTCTTTTCCTGGAATTATGGAAGCACTCTTCAACATGGAATCCTTGGTAGAATCTTAAAATTCAAGAATGGAAAAGGCATAGAACCTTTGAAGAATTGTTGTGGGAAATTTTTTGAATAGTTGGTTCTAATGTAAATGCCAAAACATTGGATTTTGTGAAGTACTTAGTGAATTATCACTGACAAACTGCATTTTCATCTGTCGTTAAAAGCGACTATTCTTTATCATTCCTGTGTCTTGTCAGTAAGGACAGAACTGCAACAAATCTTGTTACTGTTTATTCAAGTGGCACATCTATATCTGATTTAGCGCTCTGGCACCCTGCGACAGTGTGAGAAGTGGAAATGTCCAAGAATCGCAGAAAATGAAGTTCCGTTCAAACCAGAGATTCCAGCTGTCACTGTTGTTGCATTGCTGACCTAAGAAGGAAAGTTTGCATTGGATATCAAAATCTTATGGTACAGTGAATGATAAAAATCAAGAAAGAAGTATTAGAAAACTAAGGCAGGGACAAAAAAAGAAAGAAACATGGAGAAAGAAATTTAGAGAAGAAAAGCAGCAGGAATAGTTTAGGTTGACTTTCTATTGGGACAGCAGCAGCCAGCCATGAAAGGATTAGGGAAGAAAGAGCAAATTGAGTAGCATAGTGAGCTAGGCCAGTTTTTCTTAACCTCATTACATGTCACCCAGAGATCTTGTCAAATTGTCAATGCTGAGACATTTTACAGTAGATTTTAAGTGGAGATGGAGAAGATCGTTAAGGTAGGTTGCATTCTAACAGGTTCCTAGTTGGTGGTCAAAACTACCAGTCCAGGGACTAAACTTTGAGAAATAGAAATCGAGTTATTTATTTATTTAGATACTTTCTGGAGGTGGAAGGATATGGCAAGTAAGAGTTACTGCATTTATTTGCAGAAGTGATACATTGGAGACTTGTCCAAGGAGTGTCTTCTCTATGATGTTTTATCCTTGTGGAGGTCAGTAGTTCTCATGAATAGTAAAAAGTAGTATATTTTAGGTTTAAAATATGTTTAAAAAAAAACTGCTTCTTAAAAAACTTATTTTCTAAGTAGTTGAACCACCTTCAGAATATAACATCACTGTCACATTGAGGGATAGGAGAGGCTGAGTCAAACTCCGCCCCACAGTGGTGAACTACAAGCAAAAGGGAACTAGAAAACCTGGGTCTAGAGTTTGAACCCAACATCATCAGAACCCAGCCTTTAAGGCCTGTACCTGAGAGAATACCCCCAAAATCTGAGTTTGAAAAACAACAGGGGGATTGCACTCATGTGACCCGAAGGGCTGTTGTAAACCGAGAAATGCCTTTTAAAAGGCTCCTGCGCCGATTCACTCTCACCGTGGCTGAGGTCAGAGGTAGGTGTTTAAAAAGCACCCTGACTTTATGTGAAAGCCATTCGTTTGCCAATCTTAGAAGGTGAACCTGAAGAGTATGCTGGTTTTGATGGATAGTTTTGTTATTTTTTAAATCTCTGGACATTTTTCTTCTCCAAGAGAGGGTGCCATTTTTGTACTCTATAAATCTTGCTAAAGCCAGCGGGAGGCATTTTCACACTTTCCTTCTGTCACATCCTATAGTACCAGTACCTGTAGTACCTATACCAGTACTAGTACCTATAGTACCTCCCGAGGGAAATGTTTTACATGGCTGGTGTTCTGGTTTTGCAACTGCCACTCAGGGGATTCTGAGCAGATATTCTTGGAAAGTCCTGTCTTTGATTGTCCATACATACATTGATATACATACATTTTTTAGCTTGAGGGCCAGGCTTTTGTTGTAGCACACCTATGATGTTGCTCTCAGGGAACAGAAACTAGAAGACAGGAACTTTGCAAGCTCCCTCTGCTTTGCATTAGCATGCTACTGTCTCCCACAAAGGTCTAGATCTGGTGCCTCAGTATTTTTATCTGCTGCCGGGATGCATCTACATTGCTTGGTTCTGGGGACCACAATGGTGGCCAGTGGGTCACACAGGACTGTAATAATCACCAAAAAGTTCTTTAACAGCTAGTGTCCCAGAGCACAACTGGCAGTGAAACAGAGTTAGGTCTTTCTGTGAAAGAGGCTTATTAGCTTATGTTCATAGCTGTGGCCTGAGGGCAGGCATCGGAATAGATACACATCAAAGGCTAACTAAAACCTTTCAGAGACCTTGGAAGGCAGGTCTTTTCTTTGCGCTTTCCCTCTGATGCTCCAAAATGCTAGATTCTGAGAGGGGAGCGTTCTTACATGTGTCTGGTACACTGCTCTTTTTGACTGCTGCATGTGAACCTCCCCTGTGAAGTCCTGGCTCTTTCCCAGGGAGGCTAGTGTACCTGGGCCCCATGGGACACCAGGAGTCAAAGAGACAGCTGGCTGCCACACAAACAGCACACTGAGATAGCCTCCTCTTCCTGTGAAAGATGTTGTTTGCTTGCTTAGAACTTTGGTCCAAGGTCGGGCTTTTGGTTTTGCCTACTTCTAGAGGCTTAAAGAATTGTTCCTTGGGAAAACATGCTGAAGGATGCCATCATTTCCCTCTTGGCAGTGCCTCTCAACATCTTTCCAGTATCTTGAGGAAGTTGCTTATCCACTCTTATGGAGGCCTAAGTTTTACAACTGTTACCAGGGGGACACCAGCAGATGGCCTGTCTGAGTGGCCAGCACAGCTTGCTCATAAGTTTACAGGACCATGCATATTTGCATTCTTTGAAAGCTGCTGCCTTTCAGGGTCAGGCTTCCAATCAGCTTGAATGTAGGTGATGGTGAGATCTCTGCCTACCCTCTTTGGGACACTGACTGGTCTTGGAACACACTCAATGACTGGTAACAATTTAAAATAATCTTCTTGGACAGCAGTGGTCAAAGTTTGGCCAGCCTGAAGTATAAGATTCATCTCCTAAAGGAGGCCACTCCTCCAAGTGGGGAGTGTTGGCTATTTTGTGTGTACATGTGTGTGTATGTTCATGAGTATGTTAATGTATGTATATAAGCAAACATAAGAGACTCAAGAAACATGAGTAAAAGAGAAATGTGAGTGAAACAGTAAAATAAAACCTTGGAGAAAAACATAATGATAATCAATGGAGAATGGAGATAGGTAATCTTCCTGATAAAGGGTTCAAAGTAATCATGGGAGAGATGCCCACTGAGCTCAGAAACAGGTGTGTGAACACAGTGAGAAGAACTTCAGCAAAGACTGGAGAGATCAGAATCACAGAACTGAAAACCTAAAACACTGAAATCACACTAGAGCAGTTCAGTGGCACAATAGATGGTATGAAAGAAAGGCCAGTGAATTTTAAGCAAGGGCTCTGGAATTCACCCAAGTAGAAAATCAAAGGAGAAAAAAAAAAAAAAATTGAAAAAGTGAAGGCAGCTTTAGGGATATGTGGGACAATATCAAGTAGACTAATGGTCTCCTTGTCAGGGACCCAAAGACAGAACACTTTGAGAAAGAATAATTGTAATTTTCTTAAACCTAAGTAAGGAAATACATCATACTTCAAAAAACCCACAGAATTCCAAATAAGATGTACTCAAAGGAACCCGCAGCAAGACACAATGTAATTAAAATGTCAAAAGTTAGAGACAGAGCAGAAGTTAAAGACTTAGGGCAGCAAGAGAAAAATAACCAGTAGGCAATCAGCAGATGTTTCAGCAGAAATTGCAGCTAAGAAGAGAATGATGCAATATAATCAAGGTGCTGAAAGAAAAAAATTCCAACCAAGAAATCTCTATCTGGTAGTAAAAGACAGAGTAAGAATTTTGCATGCAAACAATTCTACAGAAGTTCAGTACCACTAAGCCAGTCTTAATAGAAATGTTAGAGGGATTTCTTTAGGTCAAAAAGAAAGGGCACTAATTATTATAAACAGGAACACATATGAAATTAATTATATTCAACCATTTGAGACCAAAAACCAGTAAGAAAATAGCCTTCAGCAATATATCCAACTTAATAGATTTATCACAATTATACAGAACATTCCATGAAAGAAACAACATTCTTCTGAAGAATGCATGGAACATTCTGGAGAAGACAGGTTTGTTTTTAGGTCACAAAGCAAGTCTTGATGAATGTAGACAATTCAGTTGTATTAATCAGGTTTCAGGTATAAAAGTAGAAATCAGTTATGAGAAAACTAGAACGTTCACAGAAGTTCACTATTTCAGTTCACTGAAATAGAATTAAGTGTTTATTAAAAAAAAAAAAAAGATGAGCAAGTTGACAAATCTTTGGCTAGATTCATCAATAAAAGGAGAGGACTTAAATAAAATCAGTGAAAATGGAGATGTTGCCACTGACATTACAGACATACAAAAGATTTTAAGAGACTGTTGTCTTCTGAAAACAAAAATGCTGAAACTAAAAGTTGAGAACTATGTTGAATTTGGTTGGTTTTCTGAGGAAGATACCCTGCAGGATTGTCTCTCAGATGCTGCTGAGGGACTGCTTCTAAGAGCTGTACAGGTGGAACCAGGATGTATAGGAGTTTTATAGCAAAAAACCCAGGTAGTTAAAATATAATAAGATTTCAGTTAGTTAAACAAAATCATGCATCTCAAGTGAATGAATTTAGCACTTTTCTGTCTTTGGGAATAGATACGAGCCTGGGCTGATTGAAATCATTCTTTTGTTAGGTACCTTAGGTATCTAGGATCACTATTCTGTGATCTATTTTCACAGTCCTCTCAGGGTTCATTTTCAGAAATAGCTGCAGTGGCTTATGACTTGATGGCTTTTGTTTACTGATATGGCTGGCAGCATTCTTAGTCCATACCATTATAACCAGTTACGTGTTTGTAAATTATGTAGTTTAGAGGAAATGGATAAATTCCTAGAAATGTACCAGCAAACAGAATAGGATCATGAGGGAACAGAAAACTGAACATACCAATAACTAGTAAGAAGATTAAATCAGTAATCAGAATACCTTCCTACAAACAAAAGTCAAGAATGAAATAGCTTCATTTGTCATTTCTACCAGCCAGAGAAGATTTAATGCCTGTCTTTTTCAAACTTCAAAAAATTTGTAAAGGATGGAACTTTTTTTTTAAAGTCAGGTCTGTAGTTACTGATGTTTTTTGGTATATATTTTTTTAGTTGTTTTGTTTATTTTATTTTTGACTTGGTCTTCCTTGCTGCATATGGATTTTCTCTAGCTTCCGCATACTCTCTAGTTGCCCTGCACAACCTTCTTGTTTCAGTGGCTTCCTGTGTTGCAGAATAGAAACTCCGGGGCAAAAGAGCTACAGTAACAGCCACATGTGGGCTCACTGCTGTTGTGGAGCATGGGCTTAGTTGCCCCGAGGCATGTGGATTCCTCCTGGACAAGGGATGGAACCTGTTTGCCCTACATTGGCAGGTAGATTCTTAATAACTGGAGCACCAGGGACATCCAATGGATGGAACACTTCATAACTAATTTTCTTAACTTTATGCATAATATATCATGAAATACCAGGCTGGATGAATCCCAAGCTGTAATGAAGATAGAAACAAGCTCAGTTCTGTGAAAAATACCGTTGGTAGTTTGATAGGGATTGCATTGAATCTATTGATTACTTTGGGTAGTATAGCCATTTTGACAATATTAATTCTTCCAATCCATGAACACGGTATATTTCTCCATCTGTTTGTGTCCTCTTTGATTTCTTTCATCAGTGTTTTATAGTTTTCTATGTATAGGTCTTTTGTTTCTTTAGGTAGATATACTCCTAAGTATTTTATTCTTTTTGTTGCAATGGTGAATGGTATTGTTTCCTTAATTTCTCTTTCTGTTTTCTCATTGTTAGTGTATAGGAATGCAAGAG